GTTTAAAATTCTTCATTCATTAAATGGGAATGGTTTAAAATTCTTCACACATTAAATGGGAATGGTTTAAAATTCCCAGCAAGACTTGATACATTAAATGGGAATGGTTTAAAATTCTTCATACATTAAATGGGAATGGTTTAAAATTCCCAGCAAGCCTTGATACATTAAATGGGATGCTGATGGACTTTCCAGCTGGGAGGTGGCTGCACTCCCCTCCCTTTAGGAAAAGCAGCCATTATTCCACAGAGCCCCTGAGGCTGGAAAAGCCCCCCAGGACCCTCCAAGTCCAATCTCTGACCGATTCCCACCTCGTCCCCCAGCCCAGAGCTCCCAGTGCCACATCCAGGGGAATCTCCTCTGTGCTGTACCAAGCAGATTGACTTTATAAAGTAAATTAAACCCCCCTCCCCAAAGCCCAGCCCTGAGGTTTCCCCGACCTGCTCCGGCGTCGCAGTCCTCCGAGGAGACGCTGTTCTCCGAGACCCTCCTGCCCAGCGCCGTCCTCCTGGGCTCCCTGGGGACCTGCTGGGGACAGAGCCACCCCCTCAGCTGCCTGCACACCCAGGGCCAGCTGGGGGTAATCCCTTAAGAGGCCCAGGTGTCACTGGCAAATCTGCTTGGCCGGAATAAACGAGTCTGGCAGGTGACATCTTATTTAAAAGTTTGATCACAGAACCGCCTGACCCTCGGTCACCTGGGGAACACCTTCCCTGGAGAGGTCACCTGGTGCCCTCTGACAGTTCTCCTGGTTGGGAAAGGAGCACCAGGGATCAGGTTTTCAGGCAGTTCCCACAAGCTCTGGTGCAGATTTTTGCCACTCGCACCATTTCTGTCGAGGTCGTTTGGGGAAGATCCAAAATCAGGTGAAGGGTGAAAGGAGAAGCCATCAAAAAACCTGCATCGATTTTTCAGCCACAGAAAAAAAAGGAACTGGTAGTATTGTAATAAAAGTTACCTCGAGTTACCTGTTTTGATTTGGACAGTTCATGCATTTGGTGCCAAATAATTCCCTAATTAGGTCTGATAAGGCTGAAGCTTAAGCAGGAGAGATAAATATTCCCAGATCTGCAGGATAATCACTCCCTGCCAGGCTGCAGAGCTGGACAGGGTGTCCCTCAGCACCACACAGATGCTCTGGCTGCCTCAATCAGATTTTACACTTATTTGTTGAGACCAACTCCCCAAAAATCCAAATCCCAACAAAAGACACCGTGAAAAGAAGTTTCCACAGCTTTGATAAAAGCTCCTGAGCACAGAGTTCAGTTGGACCCCACCAAGGTGGGGTTGTTTTCACAGCTGAAAGCCAACCCATAAAACCCTAGAAGGTGCTGGATCTTTTGTTGCCTCCCTAGGAAGAGTTAAATCACAGCTGGAGATTCAGACTGAGGCTAATGCAGGGAAAAAAAAAAGGCAGGTTTGGCAAAATGCTCCAACCACACATTTCCCCCCTCCACTTTCCCAATGAGTTTCATATTTGCTGCTCACCAAACTGAAGGAAATTCCAAAGTTTATTTTAACACTGCCCTGTAAGACAATCACTGTGAAAAAATCAGGGCTGCTTTCCATGCAAACAGCAGCTTCACCAGGAAAGGAAAATGCAGCTGGAAAACCTCCTTTTTTTTTTTTTTTTTTTCCATTAGGATGGGAAATAGTTTCTATTTCTGTGGTTTTAGGGCTTTGGTAACTTTTCTTACTGGAAAAGAGCTTTAGCTCTGACAAGTCTTTTCCTTCCATTGATAGGCCCTGGTTGGGAGTGCCTGCACTTGTAAGGGCTTGCAGATTCCTCAGGAAGGGTGAAAACTGCTCTTAAATGATCCTTATTCAGCCAGTGTCCCCTTCCCTGTCACCCTGAGTCCGGGTTCTTGCCACTCAGAAATTTGTTAGAGGCCAGGGATATTTCAGTAAACCTCCCAATATTCAGTAAATCCATAAATATCTATAAATATACACGTAGGTTTTATATCAACAGTTTTGTGTTGGGGAGGGGGAAAGCAGAGTAAAAGGAAAAAGGAGTTTAACAGAGGGAAGATGAGGGACTTTTCCCATCCCAGTCTGCGGGGGATCAGCAGGATCGTGGTTCCTGGGAGGAATTCCCAAATCCCAACCTTGGGCACGTGCTCTCAGTTCCTTCCCAGCCCTGGATCCCCAGGGCACAGCTTTGGGAAGGAGGGGAAACATCCCCGGGGTGTGGAAAGCCCCAAATTCTCAGCCCTGGGCGAGGGCAGAGGCACCAAGAGCAGGGTTAAAGCTTCGGGGCACAGAGTCGGGCAAAAACCCCCCAAAATCAAAGTCACACCTCTCTCATTCCACACCAGATGTGTGCCCTCTGCCACACAGGGAGACAACTCTGCCAAAAACTGCTGCTCTTCCTCCTCCTCCTCCTCCTCTGATCTGCCCCGGCCGTGCTTTCCCTGTCACTTCCAGGAAGAGCCCTTTGAACATCAGGGTTTTTATCAGCCCCGGGCTGTGCTCAGGCTGAACTGCAGCCTGCCCTGCCTGCCCCTGATGGGATTAGAGCAGTTTGTTCCCGGGAAAATGCAACGGGGGAGGATCTGCCACCCGTCCGCTGCAGAATAAATGAACAAAGGAGGGAGGTTTTGCTTCTAAACGTGAAAACGAGAGTAGGTTTGTTCGGGGAGGGGGATGGAACCAGGAAATCCAGGCTCTAACCTGGATTCTTGCCCCAGACCTGCCCAGGGACCAGGAAAGTCCATTTACTGTTCCAGATGTTTTGTCAGCAAAGCTCTGACAGCACTTACACCTGAAGTGAATTCCAAGGAAAACCTCCATCCCTCAGCTGAATTTACAGCCGGACTCTGTGATCACAGAGGTATTTTCCTTGGAGATTCCATGGAGCCTCGCTCAGGAGAAGCCTCAGGAAAGAAGTGGGAAGAGGCGACTGCAGAGCTGCAGTGCCAGCTCCCCTCACTGCACAGGACATGACATCACCCTCCTGCCCTCAGATCGATTCCCAGAACCAGGAATTTAACTCCACAGACGCCCCCTTCCCCCCCCCTTCCCCAACTTCCCAACACTCCGTGCCTTTTTCCCCTTGTAAAATTAAAGGGTAACAGATTAACTTGGAATAGGGATTTCGAACCCAGCCTGGCCAGTTCCATCCCTTCTGGACCCTGCTTCCCGTGTTTGGCTGGTTCTTAACAATGCCTGAATTACCAAACTCGACAAAACCCATCAGCTTCACAACTCCGAAACGATTCACTCCCCAGCCTGAGATGAAGTTACTCCATCTGCAGAATTCCAGTGGAATCCTGAGTGATTCATCCCGAGTTCAGGGAAGGGCTATCGGGACATCGCCCTCCCCACGGGGGACGGGGCGGGGGCAGCTCTCCCAGCGTGACAAAGGCTCCAAAAAATCCAGAGTTGTGAAACGACTCCACGCGCGGACCCAAACCTCGCTCCGGCACCTCCTCCAGGAGCCCTTAAATCGCTGCCCCAAAAATGCGGTTGTTTCACCCAACCCCTCGAGGAAAAACCACCCGCAGCAGAACAAAGCCGGGAGGAGGGGAAACGATGAGAAAAACTGGAAAATCCACCAGCACCGGGGGCCTCGGGACCCGCGTTTCAAGTCCCCGGCATATGCAACTCATTTTGGAGTTGAGCAATTCCTCCCCCCGGGGACACTCGGAGTCCGCGTGTGGGATCGGATTTCATGAGCAGTCGGAGGAAAAATGCGAGCCCTGAGCATTTGCAAGTCAAAACTAGCGAGGGCAGGAGCTGCTCTGGACATCTCGGCTTCGTTTTCCCTCCCCCGGCGAGGGAGTTTTTTATTATTTTTATTTTTATTTTTTATTTTTTTTTCTTAACATTTGTTAAGATCCAGGGATGTGGGAAGAGCGAGGAAAAGATGGGAGTATTTCATAACGCATATTTATATGTATATATGTGTGTGTATATATGTATGTGTATATATGTATATATATATATGTGTGTGTGTGACTCGTGCTGATCCAGATATCAAAACCTCTCACTCCTCAGCGCTTCAGCTTGACTGCTGAGCTCACCTCAGTTACTCCTTCTTTCATATACAGATAAAAATACGTAAATATATAAAATAAATTAAAAAATACATAAATATATAAATATATGAATACATAAATTTATAAATATGTATTTTTGCACAGTTCCTGCTTCTGTAACTCACCGCAATCCTCACAAGAGGCAGAAACAATCCCGACCTAATAAATTCCCTTTTCTCCCTTCAGCCAAACCCTTCCAGGAGCAAAACCATTTTACCCCAACGAGCCACCATAAACTTCCCCAGCTCCCAGCGTCCTGCACGCACTCGAGAGGCTCGAATAAGTTGTTCCCAGCGCGGTGTGAGTTATTTAACACCGCGATGTTCTGCTTTCCCCCCCCGCGGAACAATGCACACGAGATGCCCGGAGCTGGAGCCACTCCCTCCCGGGGTTTTCCCGGTGCTCCCCGGAGGCAGCAGCTCCAGCTGCTCCCGGGATTTTGGAAAGGAGAGACCCTTACCTTGGGCTGGGGGGGCTCGCCCTTCTCGAACATCATCTTGAGCTTGCTCAGGGGCACGTTGTACTTCTCGATCCTGCCCGGGGGCTCCGCGCCCTCGCCGGCCTCGGGCTTTTCCACCTCCCTGGGCTCTCTCACGCAGTTTTCCATGTTGGCACCCTCCGGGGAGTGGATTCTGCCTTTGGAGGCGTCAGCAGGGGCAGCCCCGGCCCCCGGGGATGGGGAAGGAGCGCGGCCGGTCCCGACCTTGTGCCGAAGCTCAGCGCAGCCGCCCCGCAGCGATTCCCTCCCGGAGGACTCCGCTCCCAGCGCCGGCTTCTCCCACCTCTTCTTCAGCGCGCTCAGATTGCCCCTGGGGAAGTGAGGGGGCAGGTTTTCCGCGTTCTGCAAGGGACAAGGAGTTAGTTCCCAGCTCTCCCGAGCGCTTCCTTTCCCATGTGCGGAGGAAGGCGAGGGCTCCGCTGCCGCTCCCGGCCAGCTGTGAACAGTTCCAGCTGTGCCACATGGAGAAACATCCAGGACAGGGAAGGAAGGAGGGAGGGGGTGGGGGGGAGAGGAGAAAAAAAGTCAGGAAGTGAGCAAACAGGATGGCCTTATAAGGCAAAATGGGAGTCAAACCCGAGGGGTTAAATTCCACACAAAAGGCTCGAATCCACATATGAAGGAAACGGGACCCAAAATCCACACAAGGGACACGAGTGGCCACAGGGGAGGGCCCGACCCTGCAGCGTCCTCACCAGTTATCAGGCCTTCCCAAAGCTACAGATCAGTCCTCAGAAACCACTCAACCCTTGGGGTTTTGTATTTCTGCTCCCAGGTAACCAGCAGCACTTCAGCCCCGAGGGATCCCACCAGGATTTCACAAAGCTCCAGCCAAGCACCCACAACCAACATCCCCCCTGCTCCTCCTCCTCAGTCACAGAATCCCAGAATTGGTAGGGTTGGAAGGGACCTCTGGAGATCATCTAGTCCAACCCCACTGCCAAGGCAGCATCCCCTAGAGCAAGTAGGTTGTTGAATGACTCCAGGACCTCCCTGGGCAGCCTGTTCCAGTGCTCTAATAACCAGGAATTCGCTGGGATTTTTCTTCTGTTCCACTCAGGCCACTGAAAGCTCTGCCAGGGACAGGCCCAGGGGGGTCACAAACACACCTCACCCCCTCCAGGGAGCACCTGGAGCATCCAAGTGCTTCCATACCTCCCATCCAAGTGCTTCCCAGGCCAGTTGTGCTCCAGGCAGTTCCCCCTCCCCAGAGCAGCAGCCCCAGCCCCTGTTTGGTTCATCCCAATCCAGTACCTGCCACCATTGCATGTTTCCTGCCTCTCCCCTACGGACACCACTCCAAACTCATTGCAAGTGGAGCAGGGCTGCCAGGCTTACAGGAATTAACTGGGATTAGCAGCTATATTGGGATTTAAGTCTCTCACCCTATTACTCTTCTGGTCCCATTTTGAACGCTGCTTTGGCAAATTGACTCGAATCCACCAACACTTCCACAAAAATAAATAAATAAATAAAAAATCAGTGTGTTTGCTGACTGCATTGAAAGGAAAGCACTGACATGATAAGGGAAGTGTTGTAATGGGACAGAAATGCTGAAGGTTGCACAGCAGGTTTCCATGGGAACACCTCTGGAGTCCCTGCACACTTCCCAACACGAGTCCCTCCTGCTTGGGATTTGCCTGTTCCCTGATGACAGGGGGACTGACAGACACGAGCACGAGCAGTGAGGGGAATTTAAGACCCAAAAGTAATTTTCAGGGTGCTTATTTTATCCCACCTGTACCCCAAACAGCAAAAGAGTGACTCCCCAAGAATTCAGGAACTCAAGGCAGCGACTTTCCTCTAGATCCTGAAAATATTGGCAGTCCTTTCAAATACTAATTACCCCGAGGGCCTGCTTGGACAAAGCCCTGCAACCTTCATGCCTGGTGTTCCAGCCAAGGTTCCCTGACCCCGGAACACCAAGTGCAACAGAGGGAATGTGAGGCTGTAACAGAGCCAAAAAGGTTGGTGCTGCCTCATCCAGGGGCATTTCCAGCCCTGGAAGTCACTTCAGGGAAGATCCTGCAGCTCTCAAAGACACACACGGATTTTAGAGAGGCTGGAGGCCTCTTTTAAGCACTTTTCAGTTTAGTTAAGAAGGGAAGAGGCACCACACAAGTGCCTCCAGCTGAGAACAGGGGGTGGGTGCTCATGGCTCGTGGTTAACTCAGTTTGCCTTTTGCTGAGGGGTGAACTGGTGATTCAACAGAGCTTTGGGCCAGAAGCTTCATTCCCTTTCCTTTCCTTCCCTCCACACTGGGAGAAGGTGTGGAGAATGAGGCAACAGCAAACACTGTGTCTAAGCCAAGTTCTCTGCAGCAACTTGGATATTCCAAAAATCAGCTGTCACAGCAATGTTCAGGTGATCCATCCTGATTGTAGGCTCTGCCCATTCCCAAGGAAACAAATACTCATAGAAACACTTACACTTCTTTTCTTCTCAGCAGTGGCTTCTTCAGCAGCTTTCTGATACCTTTGAGAGAGAGAAAAACAAAATAAAAATGACTTTTTTTTTGACTAGGCTGAACACTCCTGAAAAGACAGCTGGGATTTTTTTTTCCCCCCACCACCAAGGATCTCACTCCCCAGATCCATCAGCTAAAACCAGAGGCTGGACAAACAGCAGCAAATGACACAAAGCCAAGTGACAGACACATTTTCAGCCACCCAGTTTACAGTAATAACATCCATTAATGTTTCTCACTCCCTGAGCAGCCTCTGATTCCCAAACAGAGACAAGTTTACCTTGGAATAGCTGTCATTGTTTCCACCACCCAGCTGTCTGCTGTGCCCCCCTCGCAGGAATAACTCAGCTCTTTATCCAGCAGCTGCTGAACCAGAACAAATCCCAGCTTGGCACACCCCAAAAACCTCCCTGAGTGCCAGTGGATCTGACTCTCTGGGCTGGAAACTGCCCCCATTCAGCAGTTGGCTCCTGAGCAGCTGAGCCAGGGTGGCAGCAGGAAGGGTAATCACAGCCCTCCCAAGATAAGCCACCCTGGATCATGAATCAAAGTCCTTTAAGGAGCTCTAGGAGGGAACTCCCTGCAATCTGCCCCCGGGGGGGGAGTCCCTGCACACTCCTCACTGTTCCTGCACCACACAGGGGGGGCTGCACTTGGTGTCAGGGACAAATTTTGCCGTTTTAGGGAGAGCTCTGCTTTTCAGGGAGAAGGAACATCACCCAGTGATGTTTGCCTGGGCAAAGGGTGTTTCTGTTTTCCTTATCTGTGGAATTCTGCTTTTGACTCAGCTGTGAGTGTGCTGCAGGCTGCTGCCTCCCCTTTAATCCCTGCAAACACACTCACCCAGGCCTCTGCCCCACAAAGGGTCCAAAATTTGCACAAGACACGCTGAGAAAGTGCTGCTGGGGAAAGAGGGGATCAATACTGGGAGAAGCAACGAAGAGGGACACAGGGATTAAGCCAAGTACCACCTGGAAAACACAGGAGGATTGGGGAGCCCCAGCCCAGCACAGGGCACTGCTTGGATCCCTCCCGTTGCTGTCTGTCTGCCTGTGACCCGACAAAACTGATTATGTGGCAGGGAAAAAGAAATGTTTTCACACACAAATATTTGGCTAACAGCATTTAGAAACATCACCCTCCTCCCTGCAGGTGTCAGGGAGCAGGACCGTGTTTTTTCCAAGGAACTGACGCTGCCTGTGCAGGGGGGACAGGACTTGATTAAGGAATAGCAGTTTGGATTACTCCCAGTAAGCCCTTTTCAAGGGATTATCAACATTTAGCAAGATGACCAGGTCCTGTAATCAAGCTCCAGCGAGTGAATAAATTACCTTAAGGAGGCAGTGACAGCAAAGAGCTTCTCCCTGGGCCAGAGACCCACAGAGGAACTTGGAGATGTGCAGTTACCCCTCTCTTAGAGAGTTTCCCCCCCACTCAAGATCCAAACACCACTAAACTTTGCTCCATTATTAAGGAGCAAAGGATCCCAGGAGACTCAGCTGCCCCAAATCCCACTGAAAGTCCCAGCTGCATCCTATCATGATTCCTTAAGGAAATAAAAGCTTTTCCAGGAAACATATGCAGGTTCCCACCCCTCAGTGTGTACAATATTTATGGTTTAACACCTCATCCGTCTCTCAGAGGAAAGGCAAGGGTAATATTCCTCTTCTACCCAAGTCAGGGGATATTGGGAAAAGGTTCCTCCCCCAGAGGGTGGCTGGGCAGTGGGCACAGCTTCCCACATCCCAGTGCTCTGCCCCTCAACTCCAGTTTGCAGTTGGTAGTGTGACAGAAAATGATCTCCTTTAGCTCCTTTAGCAGAAGGAAGGTATTCCAGCTCTGGCTGCTGAAACAAGGCAGTGTCAGCAAGGAGAACAACCTTTGCCCAGCACATCCTAAACCAGAAACCTCAATGCCTCCAGCTCTGGGGTGTTCTGAGGCAGCAAAGCAACTGTGAGTGCAGCAGTGCCTGCCCAAGGGAGCAGCTGTCACCTCCCAGCCCCACTCACTTGGAGAACCTCTCAGCCAGGGCCGAGGACTTGTTCCTGTTGACCAGGGAAAGCTCCTTGGCAGTGATTTTCAGAGACTGGGAGGCCCATTGTCTTCTGCTGAACGGGGAGGGCTCCATCTTGTCTCCCCAAATCCCTGTGAGGAGGAAGGAACGGTGTCAGCAGCGGGAATGGAGAGCAGGGAGGAGGTTTCAGAGCGATTTGTTGTTACTGTCCCCATGAGGGTGCTCCCAGTGCCACCAGCCCCGACCCCGCAGGATCCTGCCCATCAACTGACTTAAAAAAAGGCAGCAGATGCCAATTATAATTTCCTCAGGAGATGCCACCAAGATGGTGCCCTGATAAAGCCTCCAGGAGGGGGTGAGAGGGGCTGGAGGATTTGGGAGTGAGGATTCCGGAGTGAGGATTCCAGAGTGAGGATTCCGAAGTGACTCTCGTGTTTCCCACACCCCCCCCCACCCCCAGAGGAGCTCCAGGAAGCCCCAGGGTGCCCTCAAACCCAAACCTGCTGGAATTTATGTAAGAGGCCTCGAGTTATGAAACTCAGAGGATGTAATTCCTGTGCAAACATTTGTCATCCACTCTTGTTTCGCTCTCGGTTTCCTCCACGAGCTCAGACGAGTGTTCCCAACCCTCCTGTCACAACAGTGACCACAATGGCACCTAAACAACACCAGTCACCCCAAGAACAGCTCTCACTCCCTCCCCACCCTGCTGGAAATGGGATTTTGTCCAGCTTTTCACCACATCAGATTTATTTTTTTACACGCTCGGTTCTTATTTTGTGGAGGAGGAAAGGAGGGGAGATTATAATTTAAAGAGTTCCCTGATAAGACAAAAATAAAAGCCTGTAGGGAAACGCCTTTCCTTTTTTTTTTTTTTTTTTCCTCTTTTCTTTTCTCCCTGGTCCCCATGTCACACAATGCCAACTGCTGGGGCTGAGCCCTTCCTTGCATTTTCCATTAATTCCTTTAAGGGATTTGCACAGTCACAGAACTCTGGATCCAGTCTGAGGCCGGGTTTGCTGGACAATTGGTCACAGGTAAATGATGGAAACACCTTCAGGCAACAGTGGATCAAAGAGGGGAATGACGACATTCCCGAAATCCTCACAGGTGTGGAATGCACCTGCTCAGAAATGAGGGAGACTTGGGATTCTGCAAGGCCTGGGGCCAGGAGAATTCAGCTGCATGGGCAGAGCCTGCAGTTCCCAGGGCTGGAATGGGAGCCCTGGGAGTGGAGGAGCCTCTCCAGGGC